GGCGGGGCGGGGCGGGGCGGCCTGTGCTGCACCGCACTCACCATGTACAGCGGGGCGCGCACACACCGCAGGACAGCACAGGACACGGAGCAGTTAGCGCCTCGTAACGGCGCACTTCCTCCTATACTCTGCCTGCCCGGCCTGGCGTAGCGTCGCGCGCACCGACACCGTTAAAAACAATGTAATAATCATTTTGAGATAACGCCGACACCGCGTCGTTGTTGTCGGAACGCACGTCAAAGTCACGCAAGCGCGAGCACGGGGGAGTACAGTAGAGGGTAGACCGAGTAAAAATGGTGAAAAATGTAAAATTTTGCAAAGCGAAACATCTGGTTTAAAAAATATTAGATGCGAATAAAATTACTTTCAAGAAAGCAAGATCTCTCAACATATGTATTTACAAATTTTCCCAACTATATCAACAATTTTTCTCAAAGTACGATTAAGCTGGATTGCCTCGGATTTTACTTTTTCAACCTCTGGAAACCACAGTGGTTCTTAAGATAACATGCTACATTATGCAGGGACCAAGAGATTGGCTCTCGCTGACCAACAACCTATTCTCACGGCTACACGAAACTACTCGATGAGAGAGGCGAGTTTTTCTTTGCGAGTGTTTTAAGGTGAAGGGGTGGAACACTTCCAGATGTACTGCCGGTGCGGCCTGCGAGTGGGCCGCGCGCGGCGGCCGGGCCAGGCCCGCCCTGGCCTTGCTGATCGTCCCACACGACGGCCTGCTCGTGCCCGCCCCACGGGGCCCGGCCCGCGCACTGCACACCGCTCCGGTAGCTCCACCGCACCTCCGCGCCCGAGCATTACCCCCACCCGCGGACCGGATGGAGGAGACCTTTTCTTTCAGGAAGGAGAAAAGAGACACGACCGGCCAAACCAAAGAAAATAACGCGCGCGCTGCTATCCTAGGAGAGCGCGACGTTTAACGAAATTATTCGCGTCCCTCCAGTTCCTGCCGAGGTTCCTGCCGCCGCCGCGGGGCCCCGGGGCGCGCACCTGGAGCGGCCGGGCCGCGGTCACGCGCGTCATTAAGACTGGACGCTGGGCCCGTGACGTCACGTCGCGCGCCCCGCACCTCACAAACCCTTCCGTTAAAATAGGAGGGGCAAAAAAGAAAAGAAAACTTTATAAAAGATATTTGTGTGAATGTTGTCAGCCTAGCATCATGCGTCGCCTACACATGTTTTTTTCCCCGCCCGCGCCGTTTATGATTTAATCAATGAATGATGTGTATCCACTCGAAAAAAATAAATAAATACAGAACTGCCTCAAAAATACAATTTCTATCGGTGTGGGATTTTGCCTGGTGGCGGTGCGCGGTCGCGACACTATAGGGGTCTAGCCCACACGTGCAGCTCAGGAAACAAACGATATTATGAATATTGATCGCAGCGGCGCGGCCCACGCAGCGCTCTGCAGAGCGAGGCAAGTCCTCGCCATTTTCCTGGCTCGGCGCAAAAGAGAAGCCCCGCATCTCTTGGGCCGGGCCGCGGCGGATACGGGGACGTGCGGGGCGGACCGCGGCAGATACAGGACAGACTGCCCGCGGCCCCGAGTGGCGTGTGGCAGCGCTCCAGAGAGAGCCGGGGCGCTAGAGGTGGTCACCCTCCTCCACCCCCAGAGAGATCTCTCTCCGACCCGACGAGCTGCACCCCAGCGGGAGCAAGTACAGTGCACCCGTGCACAAGGCGATTGGGAACGATCGTCCAGAAAATACCTCCCTTTCATCTCCATATTCATTTGGTAAATTTAGGGGGCTTGGCGCCTGCGGGACTCAGGGTAGGCCACCAAGCAGTACACGCCTGCACTGCACGCAAGATGTTGCCTACCAGCCAGGCGCTGACAGCCTGGAAGGGCTTGCCTTGAAAAGTTCGTAGCGAGGAATAATAGGCGTACTTTCTCGATGATCCCTTCTCTTTGAGGTATTTGAGGTATTGCACGAGAATCGGTGCTAGAGGTTCTATCAAATAAATCGCAAGCAACTTGTGCTAGTCACAGCGTTCCACAAGAAAGTTAAACGGACTACAGATAATAAAGTTAACAAATCCCCACACAAAACGTGCGTTCCGTACCAAGAGGCTTGTACTGACGTAGTTCTGCTCTGCTGAGTGCACGCGTGCAGGTGGATATTTGCCCAGGCCGGGAATGAGCCATCCGGTGCATGCACCACACTGTAAACAAATCCCAGGTGCCGAGCAGCAAGGCGACTAAGAGATCGTCCAGAGAGAACTTCCTCGGATTCAAATGACATATTACGGGAACTCGGCGCCTGTGAAACCCATGGTAGGCCACCCTGCCGTACACGCATGCGCTGCAGGGAAAATGTTGCCTATCTGTCGGGGCGCGGGGCGCTTTGAGAGGAAAAGGGTCGTGGGGATAACTCCTCAGGTTTTGAGGACGTCTTCTCAAAAAGTGAGGGAAATTCTCACATTTTTTTTTGAGAAGAGTTACTCAAATTATGGGGTTTCCTTGAAGTTTTTTTCCCTAAAACACAAAACAAAAAAAGAAACAAACCAGACGCCGTTTCTACCGTGCGCTCAGGGTACGGGATTTGATTTTGCACACCTGGCCGTCTTGGCCGCTGCTCCGCCCCGTCACCGCTGCCCCCGCGGTGGGCGCATACCTCCACCTCTGGCCGCCCAGGGCGCGCCACCTGCCGGCCGCCGCCGTGCGCCGCGCGGGTAGGCAGCCCACCTGGCTCGCGCGCAGGCTGGGCCGCCTGCTCTGCGGGGGCTTGCGCGGCCAGGCGCAGGGCAGGTGGAATATCCAAGAAGGAAAACGCCCCGCCGGGTCGTCGCCACGCCACGCTACGCCAGGCCGCGACAGAGTGCGACGCCGTTGATAACCGACGCCGTACGCTTCCGGTTGGTTCTGCGAGGCACGAGTGTTTGGCGCGCGCAGAGCAAACAGAGACTACCATTTGCATACCGGGTGTCGATGAGGACGGGCAGGTTGACGCGGGGCGGGGCGGGATTGGCGGGGCGGGGCAGGGCGCACCAGCCAGGCGCCGACTAATGAGGGCGTAGCAAAGAAGACCATACTCTGCTATTACTCGCCAATCTCACTTCATTGGTGCCGGCGCGATGATGACCGGCTGAGCACGGCGGGCGCACGCAGCTCCACCAGCTCGCGAGTTGCGCGATCACCCGGCGACGGCCGGGCTCGGGTACTTTATTACGGCTCACCAGGAAAGTTTTTATAGACTCCAACATCTTATTTTTTGAAAAAAAAAAAAAAATATCACTTTTATACGGCGGCCGCGAGTACAGCCCGACTTCTACGACGGGCGCAGCCGACTCCCGTCGATGACTACTCAATCAAGACAAGGGCGATATCCGAGGCAACATCTCTTATTCTAGCGAGGCCCCAAAACAGTATACGCTACACACAGTCAAAGCCAACAGGAGGAGGTTTGCGGAACGGTACAACCTGGGTGGTGAGTATGAAAACCAACAACTCTTTGTACTGCGTCAAATTCAAAAGCTTGCCAAGGAGAGGTGCGTCTACGGAAGCGGAATAATGGGAAAATAATGATAAAAAGCTCGCAGGATATATTGCGCAACTGGGAAGATGCACTTAGTGAGCCCGGCAAACGAGTGTCATTTGCTGTATAATCAGTCAAGGCGACACAGAGCAACTTAGATATAAAAAAAGTTAAAATATGCGGAAATCATAAAGAGTGCTGGTATCGAATCGCAAATCGGTGCAGCGAGGTGTGGTAGCAGCATCAAAAATAACGATAACGTTTAAATATATCACCAGAAGTTGGCGAGTTTCGGTGTGGAGCGGGGGCTCACCTTCTTCCACTTGACGATCGCAGCAAAAGCGGCACAAGCAAGTCGACATTAGTGCAAGTGCCATGAGGAGAGCGAACGTGATTGCGATTGTGAATGAGGTGGAGTGCAATGCGGTTCGTCGCGGGGGTTCCTTCTAGAGGGGGAGGGGGGGATAACTTTTACTTTGTCTCCCGCTTTGGACTGACTGCTGTCAGCCCTCGGCTTCGGCTGGTCCCGAGAGCGACCAAATAGGGCTCGGCGGCTTGGCGGGCGCGCGCTTCGAGAGCTCATCATACTTTGGGGGTCTGTCGTCGTCTCCTACCTGGAAGTGGAGGATGATGGTCCAGATGAGGCCCAGGGTGAGCTTGGGGTTACCGTCCACGATGTCCTCGGCGCGAATGTTGACCAACTTGATCTGGAGAAGGACAGAGAGCCGTTGGGTGAGTAGATCCGACAGAGCAAAGAGAACAAGCTGTACAAGACGACGGAAATGGGCGTATAATTACCTTCTTGTAAAACAAAAAGTCGAGGCACATCTGGACGTTCTGCATCATGTGAAACCGCATGGCGCCTCTCTCGCGGGGCTGCTGGAACAGAGGTCGGGCATTCTTTCAAAAAACCACTCCCACATACATCTTTATTGATCTCATTTACGGCGCCTAAACACGCCCATCAGCCGCGGCATGGCAAACTTTTAAGACAGGACACCATCAGGAAAACGATCCGCCCGGGCCAGGGTAGCCAGATTGTTATTCCGAGAGCAATTTCGCGGACGAGGGAGGCCATGAAGTTTCTAGCCCGTCCTTTTGAGCACGCACAGCCTGGTGGCCAGCCTGTGGCGGCCATAGCCCAGCCCAGCCCAGCCCCCCGGGCGGGGTGACGCGCCGTTCTCGGAAAGGCTGCTATGGCCGTGCCTCATGTGGCCGAGTGCCTGATGGTGCCTGCTCAGGAACTGCCATGCGCTGGGCTGGGCCTGCCCCGGGCCGTGCCGTGCCCCGCGACACCCTCACCGCCCTGTTTGCGAATGCCGATCCAATGCGACACGGCCGGTCCGCGCGACATGGCGCGGTGGGCGGGGCGGGCGATTGGATTGGACCGACCGACCGATATCCACTCTCAACTCTCTGGCTGGCCACTCTGCATTATGTGGATTCCCAAATTTTGACATTATTTTCAAATTTACAAAGGGGTCAAATTTAGCCAGTGTTTATTTTATGTTCCAGAGGTCAAACTAAAAACTCTGTGGGCACTTTGCATGCCAGAATTCTGGAATTCCTCTTTGAATGCTAATATGTGGCCTCTCTGCTTTGAATACAAAATTCTTAAAGAGAACGCCAACACTTAGCATATTTACAAAATTTGTCACAATATCTAAATGAGGCCCACGTAAGAACTTTTTTTTTTTGAATAATTTTTAAATTGAAGTTGAGGAGGGTCAAGTGTCGAAGTAAATTAATGGAGTTTTCTCAAATTTATATTTAGAAATAAAGTCCAACAGCAAATATTAGGACGGCAGTTTAAAACTTCTCCACGAAAATAAAGCAACAAGCAATTTCGAGTTGGCCGACGTGCCCGGCTGCTGTGCCGCCTCGAGCATGGGGGTCTGGAAGTCGACACTTTTCGTTTCAAAAGCCGATCAAAATACGGCAATCTCCCGCGGTGGGCCGCCAATTAACCACGCGCGGCGAGCGAGCCTCCTCGAGCCTAGGCGTGGCGCCCTGGGGCGGGAGCCCCGGCGGGGGGAGGGCTCTGCGCCGTGTCATTCGCGAGCGGGTGTCGCCGTCCTTGCCGCCTACCATTGCCACACGCGGGCGCCGTGTGCCGGTCGTAAAAATACGTGTTGTACTCACCAGAGTCTCCCCCGAGAGGACCTCGAGCAGCGAGATGAGGTTGTGTCCATCGCGCAGGTCCTCGAACAGGTCCGTCACGTGGCGGTTCACCTGCAGGCAGAGAGGGGCGTGTCATGTCACATGCAGGCAGGCAGGCTGGCCCGCCCCACCCACCCCACACGTCGCACAGTGTGAGCCGAGCGAGCGGGCGCTACCGGCAGTCACGACCAGGAATAGGCCATAGACAGCCATGGGCCTGGCCATGGGCCCCCAGTAGTCATAACGACAAGGGGCGTAAATCCCCATGAGATTTATAGGGCGGCGCCATGAGCCACGGGTGTCAAAGGGGCGCCGCGACGCCTTATACGGTCGCAACAACACACACACAGACACACACTCCACACGCATTGGTTGCACAAGGTGTCAAAAAGCAAAATAGTCGTGCTGGAAAAATGTTTACTGAAACAACAAAGTGTCAAAAACAGCAAGAGACAACTATTAAAGAGACTGACAAAACTACAACGAGCAGCAAGTGAGCACAGTCAAAACCAAGGCAATACAAAAATCAAAAAAAGTAAAAATAAAAAGTTATAAATCATGCGCGTACAAACAGTCAGTTTGATTTTAGTGCCGGGAGCGGCAAACCACACGTTACTGTACGAAGCCTGCAAGAGGAAACTGCAGTGAGCCGATGACAGACTAAACATCCATCTGGAGCAGTCAAACACATGCATCGCGTGGCAAGGACACTCGCAGACGCGCGGCGTTCTACCACAACTGAACTACTTTTTTGCATCAGACAGCACTTTGTTGCGAAAAACAATAATTACAAAAAATGGAAACTACAAAAAACAGTCACATCGCATCCTCAAGTCGAGCAGAACTGCAAGCCCGCTTACGTTTGGCGAAAGAGGCCCGGCGGCCGCGGTCCCGGGCACGACAGTGAGGAGGGTGTAGGTCTGCAACAAGATCGGGAAGGGATTGAGTGAGGGTGCTCAGGGGGGCGGCCAGTGTGGGGCGACGGAGGGGTCCACGGTCCACGTTAGTGGAGCGAAATCCGCGGGGCGGCGCGGCTCAGGCGGCGGTACGTCAAACACGAGGGGTCGTAAAGAGACCCATAAGGAGGGCGCGACATGGAGCGAGGGCGAGCGAAGGGGACTCAAAAGGACCGACAAGTCGGCAAAATATCAAGATTATTATTGCTGTTGTTGTAAAAAGTAAGACGTGGATTGTTTGGAGCACAAAAAGAAATGAATGTATTTATAAGATTTTACTTCCTATTTTGGTGCAGGCTTTGAAAGGACGGTCCGCGAATGAGTAACAAACAAGAAAAGGTTATTGGTGCTTTTACAAACTTGGAAATGTTCGACCTCAGCGCATTCGCGAGGAAGCTGGAGGATATAATGATTGGGGAGGGGAATCAATCAGCATTAACTCAATTATCACACCAGATACACACCTTGACATACTTCCAGTGCTGCAGCGGCCGCGTGCAGACAGACAATGCAATGGGTTAATCAACAGATCACAAGACACGACATTATCAACTGCAAGAAAACTCAAGTAAACCCTCTGTTTTTTGTTCTACTTTGTTTTTCAGAGAAAAATAAACGCTATGCAAACAAATTTTTGCCAACAACTTGTAGTATAAACGCCGACCTTGCTTCAAAACAGAATAAGCCACATAAGCTGATATTTCTATGCATAGGGGAACCCTGACCAACAACCGACACTCGCGTCCGGTCCTGCAGCCGCGCCTTTGTGCCGAAAAAAAATGGCTCGTCGACCTGGAATATCTTGTGAGGCACGGCATAGCTGAGTCACGACGCGAGTAAACATACACGCGCACACACACACAGACAGTCTTTCTCGCTCCTTCGCACACACGTCCTGCCCGTTACAAGTCATCGGTCGGCCGATCGCGTCATGTCGCGTCACGGTGTGTCACATTACGTCACGTAAGGCTTCGCGTTACTCGGCGGACAAGTCCGAGTGTGGGCGCGGCGCTCAAGGAGGAGGAGAAGGAGGACGGACGTGACGCTGTCTCCGTCTGTCTGTCCGTCCGTCTGTCTATCCGTACGTCTGTCTGCTCGTCCGTCTGCTGTCCGCGTGCCCATACGACAAGTCCATCCTGTTTCCGGTCAGCGGCGACGGCAGCACAAGACGTTCCGGTCGTCAGCACGGCCGCCGGTGCAGAGCGACGGGATCTAAATCTAAATAATAGAAAGAATAAAAATGCACAATAACTGCACATGCTGAAGGAAAACGAGAGGAAAAAAAACTACTCCGCATGAGCACAACACATCCTGCCGGTCGGTCAGAGCTAGCCGCCTGTGAGGTAGGCAGGCGCAGGCCATGCAGCGCACGGGTGCCCCGCGGTGGCCTACCCCACAGGCGGCCCGGCCCTCCGTCCGCCCGCAGCCCGCCAAGTGCGGCCGCACGCAGGGGATGGCCGAGGGATGACACCCGCCCCGCCCCGCCAGCCCACTACTCATATGGCTCCAGCCCGTGGAGGTGAGGGGGACACACGAGCCGTACAGCCCTGGTCAATATTGGCACAGCGCGCGAGCCGGGAGCCCGCGCACAGCATACACAGTCCCACCCACTAAGGAAAAGGGACGGGAACGTCTGCTGCTGAGGAAGCGTCCGTGCCGTGCTTATTGCTGCTGAGTACGGACGGAGTACAGAGGACTTTCTTTGACAAGTACGATTGTGGAACAACAGTTAACTTTCCCCCGTACCCTACTTTAATGCAAAGCTGTTTGTAACGCTCACGGAAATTATAATTTCGTAATCACAGGTGTAGCAAAACTTACTCTTACGTATGAGCAAAACTGCTATTTTTGGCAAATTTCTTCGTTGGCTTAGTAAAGGCAATAGTTGTTGTTGTATTATTATTATTGTTCTTGTTCTTTGCCTGCACTGCACTGCCTTGTATAAAAATACCATGATCACCAGAGCTTTCCTGTAAACCTAAAGTGCTAAAATAAATCAGTCTACGGCGAAGTCTTAAAGCTGCCTAATCTATTGTGCACCTGATTATTAATCCTCAAACGCAGTCGCATTAAGAACCAATTGAAGAAGTTTTGTGACCTGAGGAATTGTGATCTGTCAAGATAACCTATCCTGTCACGTGTGTGAAAGCGTCAAGCTAGCCCCGTCAGTTCTCTACTGACATCTCAAGCAATGGCTACTTTCGGAGCCAACATCCCGGCGCCCCTTTCGTTCGAAGGGGATGTGGCGGCTAATTGGAAGAAATTTCACAAAAACTTCAAGATTTATCTTGGGGCTACAGGAAGAGAAAAGTCAGCCGCGGATGTGGCAGCTATGAATGAAGGTGCTAAGAAGGATTACTATGACTCATTAGGCAAGCTCTTACTCAACATTGCTGGCGATGAAGCCACTACAGTGTCATCGTCCTTTGGACTCAACGACGATGAAGAATTCAACTATATTGAGTTGGTCAAGAAATTTGAGGAATACTCAGCCGAAGATGATAACGAGACCTATATCAGGTTCATGTTTAATAGAACTCGTCAGAGAGACGGGGAAACGTTTGATCATTTCGTAGCGGAAGCAAGAAAAAGAATCAAGGCATGTGGGTATGGTAACCTAGAAGACAGCCTTCTAAAGGACAGAATTGTCGAAGGTGTACGTAGCCAGAAATTACAGCAAACTTTGTTGGCAATCAAAAACCTTGACTTGAAGACAGCAATCAGTGAAGGTAGAAGCGCAGAATCAAGCACAAGGTATGTCTCAGAGATTCAGCAAGAACTTGCCTCGACAGTATCAGTGAATGCAGTTAGAAACCATAAACAGTACAAAAGTCAAGATAAAGGACAGTATAAAAATCAAGACAAAGGGTTCAAGAAACCAGACAAGCAGGAGTTTGACTGTACAAGATGTGGATACAGCCACACATATGGGAAATGCCCAGCATATGGCAAGACCTGTGTAAAGTGCAAAGGGAGAAACCACTTTGCGAAAATGTGTAAAACTCAAGCAGTGCATAATGTACAAGTTGAAGAAAATGATCAGAACAACTTGAATAACTTTGACTATCAAGTTTTATTTGCTGATTCAATTGGAATGGAAGTGATCACTTTGAATAGTTTAGCATCCCAAAAAGCTAAACCACCTCAAGAATACAGGCAAGAAATAAAAGTGGGAAACAAAATCATCAACTTCAAACTTGACCCAGGGTCACCAGCATCGATTATCCCACCTGAAGAACTAGAGGCATTAAACATTGAAGAATCTGCTATAATCCCAGCAAACATCTACATCAAGCCATTTGGTCCAGACTCCCCAGTAATCAAGGCAGTGGGAAGAGTGAAAATTCTAACTAAAGTTGGAGGAAAAACCAAGCTAGTAAACTACATCATAGCACCTGGAGAAGTGCCATTATTTGGTATTGCAGACTGTGAAGAATTTGGCTTAATTGTCAGAAAAGTAATGTCGATTGACTCAACCGAACATGCCATCCAGACCAGTGCTAAGGAAGAATTCGCCCAGAAGAACAGGGATGTCTTTGAAGGACTAGGAAAATTCCCAGGTGAGCACCCAATTCTGACTAAACCTGAAAGTGAGCAAGTGATCAGGCCAGCCCTGCGCCGCCCTAAAGTAATCAATGACAAATTAAAATCAGCGCTAGAAATGCTAGAGACCAGAGGTGTAATCAAAAAAGTTGACCATTTAACACCTGAGTCATGGGTCAGCAATATTGTAATTGTGACAAAACCAAATGGGAGCATTAGAATCTGTGTTGATCCGGTGGACTTAAACAAATCTATACTCAGAGAGCCTTATTTAATTCCCACTGTAGCTGAGATCAGTGAAAGGCTAAACCACCAAAAGTTCTATACTCTACTAGACCTAAAAGATGGTTTTTACCACATTGAACTTGATGAAAAATCAAGCTACAAATGCTGCTTCTCAACTCCTTTTGGTATCTTCAGGTTTCTCCGATGCCCATTTGGATTGGCCTCAGCACCTGAGTTGTTCCAAAAACTCAATGAACAAGTTTTCGGCGGGATCCCCAACGTGCTCATCTACTTCGATGATGTCCTAGCGTTTGGCAAGACCGAGGAAGAACATGACAAAGCTGTGGCTGCAGTAATTCAAAGAGCACGTTAGTGTAACATCAAGTTCAATCCCGACAAGCTTCAGTTCAAGCAACAGACTGTAAATTATGTTGGCCATACGTTCAGTGAGAAAGGGATGTCTCCCAATCCAGAGAGAGTTCAGGCAACTTTACAACTAGAGCCACCCAAGAATAGGAAGGAATTGCAATCATTATTAGGAACATTCAATTATGTTAGAGATTTTATACCCAAAATGAGCCAAATCACTGAAAATATGAGGAAACTATTGAAAAAGGATACAGTGTGGCAGTGGACTGAAGCTCATACTGCTGACCTTGAGAAACTAAAACAACTCATCTCTTCTGCTCCTGTTCTAGCAAGCTTCGACTCGTCCAAGAAAATTATTATCCAATCGGATGCCTCTCAGTCAGGAGTTGGCTGCTGCCTCCTACAAGAAGGACATCCTGTGGCATTTGCATCAAGAGCTCTAACTGACAGTGAGAAGAACTATTCAGTAAGTGAGAAGGAGCTGTTAGCCATCACTGTTGCAACACAGAAGTTTCACAACTTTATTTTTGGATACCCAGTAGAAGTTCAAACTGACCATTTGCCTTTAGTACCGATGATCAACAAAGAAATTTATAAATTAGGATCAAAGACGCTACAAAGGTTAAGGCTCAAGCTACTAAAATATGAACTGCATCTTGTTCATGTCCCAGGGAAAATGATGTTTATGTCTGACCTATTCTCGAGAACAGCAAGGGAAACAATTGAAGATGAGTCAACAATGATTGAAATGGTCCACAGTTTGTCAATGTCGTTACCGATAAATGACTCACTACGATCAGCCTTGGTTGAAGCAACAGCGAGTGACATAGGCCTCCAAACTGTCATGAAATATTTACGGGAGGGATGGCCCAAGCATGCTGAGCAACTGTCTGCGCAAGCATTCCCGTATTTTCAAGTGAGGAATGACATTTTCTGTGAAGATAACCTGCTGTACTTCAATGATCAAGGGCAGCCAAGAATCATAGTTCCAGCATCTCTCCGAGCGGAAGTACTCAAATTAGTTCATGGTCCAGCTCATTTGGCAACCGACAGATGCCTTTCAAGAGCGGTTCAAGCATTCTATTGGCCTGGTTTATCCAATCACATTCAAGAATTTATAAAACGGTGCCAGATATGTAAGAAGTTCCTGCCCATGCCAGCAAAACATCCATTGCATCCTCATCCATTGCCAAATTTAATGTGGGAAGCAGTATCAATGGATATTGCCTCAGTGGGTCCAAAAGATTATCTTGTCATGTATGACAGTTATAGCAAGTGGCTGGAAATTTTAAAGCTGCCAAGCAAAAGTGCGTCAGCTGTTGTTGATGCGTGCAAAAATGTCTTTGCAATTCACGGCTTTCCTCAAAAAATAGTCTGCGACAACAATCCTTTCAACTCTTTTGAGTTTAAGAGTTTTGCCAAGGAGTGTAATAGCACAATAATATTTACCAGCCCTCATCTTCACCACAGCAATGGAAGAGCTGAGAAAGGTGTCTCAATCGCCAAATTAATTCTAAGAAAATCAATTGAAGAAAGGTCTGATTATAGAGACTCACTGAGAGAATACAGAAACACTGAGATACCATCAATGGGTTACTCGCCAGCTCAGCTAATGTTCTCACGGAAGATGCGAACCACTCTACCAGTCACCAATCAGGACCTCAAGCCTGTGGTACCACAGTCAGTTAAATCAAAGATGTTAAATCAACAAAGAAGAACAGAGAAGTGGTATAACAAGTCTGCCAGAAGGACTGAATGCAATTTCCAGCCTGGAGACCCGGTCATAATCAACCTGGGAAACAAAGGCGAAACCTGGAAAGAAGGAAATGTTATAGAAAAATGCAAAGAGCCAAGATCGTTCCTGGTCCAAATGAAAAATGGAGGGCAAGTGCGAAGAGCCACGAATCACATGAGACCTGACTACCAGCAATCAGAAATTCCGTGGGACCCCGTCTACGACATGATAAGGAGGAGAAATGTTCAGAAAAGTCTAGAAAGGTCAGAACAAATCAACCAAGAAAGAGAGAAGACTGAAACAAACCAAGAAAAAGATAAGACTGAAACAAACCAAGAAAAAGATAAGACTGAAACAAACCAAGAAAAAGATAAGACTGAAACAAACCAAGAAAAAGATAAGACTGAAAAAACCAAAGAAAAAGAGAAGAGTGAGAAAATCTATCAACTTATTGTACCTGATTGGATGTTTAAAGAAAATTATGTCACTAGGGCAGGAAGAACTGTTAAACAAACATCAAGTTTCACGCCCTCATAGAAATGTTAATTGTTCGCTGATTGTAAATGCTAAAATCATTCATTTTATTAATTGATCATTAATTGTCATTGCACATACTTCAATTTTAACCAATGTTTATTGTTGTCTTAAACTCATAACCCTTTTGATGGGGAAATGTTGTATTATTATTATTGTTCTTGTTCTTTGCCTGCACTGCACTGCCTTGTATAAAAATACCATGATCACCAGAGCTTTCCTGTAAACCTAAAG